AAATAGAGAATAGAAGATATCAACATGAAATGAACAAACTAAGAGAGGTCTACCCAAGGTACATATACACCAAGTATCAAAGCATTCAGGCTTGTAGTTTTCAAGAAAAAGTCGAAAAAGTAAAACATTGACACTGACGACGACGACGGACGACGACGACGGACAATCACTCATATGATAAGCTCCGCTTGACAAAGTCGACAGCGGAGCTAAAAATGTAATGAATACTAACCACTTCTTTGTCTCTCCTATGATCCTGCGACTCTTTTGAGTTCAAATGTACACTGACCAGAGTAATGTCTAATTTGGCTGCCTGTTATAAATAAATAGAAATGAAATTAGGAACATATTTATACAAGCATTGATACTATGTATCAAGCATTCCATCCATTTAAAAGACAATATTTGCCACAATAAACCAGATCTACAACTGTTTGTCTGTTGACATTGAATAAAAAATGTTCAAATAAATGAGATGTGTTTCAAATTAATATAAAACATTTGTAAAACTGACCTGAAATAAACCAATGTAGGGCTGCCAGACAAATTGTTGATGTGCTTGTTTCTGCACTTGCTGCAACAGTCGAGCATCTTTCAAAGTTATTCCACGACTTTTGTCCCAGAGAAAACCATTATACTCTAGTGACTGAAACAAAAAAGCATCTGGTGGTTAGTATGGTATAATATTACAACAAGTAAGAGTAACCATTGAAGAATGCTACCCCACCCTCACCACTGGTTACTGGACAGCAATCAGAAAACACGAGTTAAAATTTCTGTAAAAACAAATTTTTTTGCCTCACATGCTTGCTTTCATTTTTGAACCTAATTTTGGCCATTGAAAATGTATGATGATTACAGATAAATTATTAGACACATTTATCACTGACTTGTTTGTAGAAGACAAACTTTAGTTCACTTTAAAATTACAAATATTTGAGAAACGTGCTGTGAGATTTGGTGATAAAGACTGAGAATGGATATTTTTAGCTTGCCAGAATAATCACAGCAGTGACCCCCCCCCCCCCAACACAAGGATCACTACTGTAGAATACTTTATTTTCGCTATTTTTGCTGAAAGGATGATTCCGTGAAAATAAAATCCAGCGAATATACTTTTTTCCCTATATTTCACATTTAACTCATCAAAAATCAGTGAAAATAAATTCCATACAAAACACCCAAAATGTCTTTTCAGCGAAAATTAATTCCAGCAAAAATAAAGTATTTCACAGTATTTTATAAATAACTAACGTGGGTTGCCCTGTGGTTGTAAGTTGTACTCCTTGGTAACATTATGCTTATACAATGAGATTATTATGAAAATAAGTATGCATGAAGACAGTACGGTGATCGTATCCACCGACCAACGCCCACTGGCCGAGTGCATAGTTTGTGGTATTCTTGTGTTAACTTTATTACTATACATTTTCTCCCGAGAAATATCAGCTTGAAATGGCAATGTAAAATGTTTTGTGTTGTGAAAGTTTGCAGATATGCAACACTTGGAAAACATCATTTAGGGATAGACGACTTCTATTGTTTGCAACGTCATACATATAATAATTAGTCGTTTTTGTCTCTGTTCCTGTGAACATTCACCTCGGGTTAATGTTGAAAAAAAATCCAGAAAACTATTCGTACATTTTTATACCCAATGCCTCCTCATTCATAGACATTGCCAATAATATAACAAGTTGTGTTTACAGTATGTATACAAGGAATAATTACACAGAGTTATTAGATATCACTAGTGTACTTGGTGAGTCTACTTTGTACATGGTTAACCTCTTCTATATATTGTGGTATATGTACCAGAATAATTAAAACCAAATGTATGAACACAATGGGGGTTAACTGTTGTCACAGAGATGATCAATTAGGACTTCAAATAAAACATTCCAATACATGGGTATTTTAGAATTAAACTTAGTTTGAACATGAACTTCTTTGCTTATTAGGCAGAGAAAAACAATATTCATGTTTCTGGAAATTGCATGAGTAGGTTAAAAA